CTCTCAGAGCCCTTTCCAATAATTTGCCCACCACTGATGTAAGACTAACTGGCCTAAGTTCCAGGGTTATTTCTATTCCCTTTTTTGAACAAGGGAATGACGTTTGCCTCTCTCCAATATTCCGGCACAATACCCATGGACAGTGATGACGAAAAGATCAATGCCCAAGGCCCTGCGATCTCTTCCCTCACTTCCCACAGAATCCTTGGATAAATCCCATCAGGCCCGGGGGACTTATCTATCTTCAAGTTCCTCAAAATTCCTAGTACATCTTCCTTACTAACATCCACCTCCTTTTGTCTAACAGCCCGTTTCACACTGTCCTCCTCTACAACTAGGTCCCTCTCAGTTGTGAATACCGAAGGAAAGTATGCATTAAGGACTTCTCCTATCTCTTTAGGCTCCGTGCACAAATTCCCTTTGCAATCCTTGCTCGGCCCTACCCTTTCTCTGGTCATTCTCTTATTCCTCAAGTACATGTAAAAAACCTTGGAGTTTTCCTTGATCCTATCTGCCAAGGTTTTCTCATGCCCCCTTATAGCTCTCCTAAGCTCTCTTCAGCTCCTTCCTGGCTAACTTGTATCCCTCTAGAGGCTTTTCCGTTCCTTGTTTCCTACGCCTTATATAAGCATCCTTCTTACTCTAAACCAGTCGTTCGGCCTCTCCTGAGAACCAAGGCTCCCTCACTCGACCGCATCTTCCCTGCCTGCCAGGGGACAAACATATCGAGCGCACACAGTGTGCATTCCTTAAACAATCTCCACATTTCAATAGTGCTCTTCCCTGACAGCATCTGTTCCCATTTTATGTTACCCAGTTCTTGCCTAACAGAATTGTAATCAACCTTCCCCCAATTATAGACCTTACCCTGCTGTATGTACCTATCCTTTTCCATGACTATTGTAAAAGTAACAGAGTTATGATCGCTACCGCCAAAATGCTCTCCTACCAACAGGTCTAACACTTGACCCAGTTCATTGCCAAGCACCAAATCCAAAGTGGCCTCTCCTCGTGTTGGTCTATCTACATACTGTGTCAGGAATCCTTCCCGAACGCACCGGACAAAATCCGCTCCATCTAAACTATTACAACTAAAAAGTTTCCAGTCAATATTTGGAAAGTTGAAGTCAAACATGACTCCACTTCTCTGCAACTATTAGGGGGTCTGTAAAAAAACCCCAACAAAGTGACTGCTCCTTTCTTGTTCCTGACATCAACCCAAACTGACTCTGTAGACATATCATTCTCGATCTGCCTTTCAGTAGCTACTATTCTAGCCCTGACTAGCAACGCCACTCCCCCACCTCTTTTACCACCATCTAAATCCCGGAACTACCAACAACCATTCCTGTCCCTGAGTTACCCAAGTTTCTGTAATGGCCACAACATCATAGTTCCAAGTACTGACCCATGCTCTAAGTTCATCCACCTTATTTCTGATACTTCTAGCATTGAAGTATACACACCTCAAACCACCCGTGTCCACAATTATGCTCCGTCGACCGCATTTCTTTATTAACAACCTCACTCCCTGTTGGAAGCCCGAATACCTCATCCTCTGAATTACAAATCCAGTTCCCCACCCCCTGCCAATCTAGTTTAAACCATCCCATAAAGCTCTAGCAAACCTCCCTCCCAGGATATTTGTGCCCTTCTGGTTCAGGTGCAACACGTCCTTACTGTACAGGTCCCACCTTCCCCAGAATGTGCTGCAATTATCCACATAATGGAAGGCCTCCCTCCTACACCAGCCCTGTAGCCATGTGTTTAGCTGCACTCTCTCCCTATTTCTTACCTTGTTATCACGTGACACTGGTAGTAATCCAGAGATAACTACCTTGTTTGTCCTGGACTTCAGCTTCCAACCTAACTCCCTGTACTCGTTTTTCACATTCTCTGTCCTTTTTCTACCTATGTCATTGGTACCGATGTGTACCATGACTGCTGGTTGCTCACCCTCCCCCTTAAGGATCTTGAAGACACAATCCGAGACATCACGGACCCTGGCACCTGGGAGGCAACATACGATCCGTTCATCTCGTTCGCGTCCACAGAACTGCCTGTCTGTGCCTCTTACTATTGAATCCCCCCCTACAATTGCTCTCCTATTCTCCCCCCTTCCCTTCTGTGCCACAAGGCCAGGCTCAGTACCAGAGACCTGTCCACTATAGCCTTCCCCGGTAGGTCATCCCCTCCAATAGTATCCAAAACGGTATACTTTTTATTGAGGGGAACGGCCACAGGGGATCACTGCATTGTCCGCCTATCCCTTTTCCCCTTCCTGACAGTCACCCAGCTACCTTTTTCCTGTACCTTGGGTGTGACCACCTCTTTATAAGTCCTCTCTATCACCCCCTCTGCCTCCCGAATGATCCGAGTTCATCCAGCTCCAGCTCCAGTTCCCTAACGCAGTCTGTGAGGAGCTGGAGTTGGGTGCACTTCTCGCAAGTGAAGTCAGAGGGGACACCAGCAGTGACTCTTACCCCCCACATCCTGCAAGAGGAGCATGCAACTGCCCTAGCTTCCATTCCCTCTACTTTAGATTTCCAGAAGAATAAAAAAAAGCCTTACCTTACCGACCCTCCACGCAGTCTTTTTTTTGGTTTTGGGTTTACCCAATGCCCGAATATATTTGTTCCTTCTTGGCTCGCGTTCACTCCACTCCCGCCACTGAAAGCAAGAAGCCTTCAGGTTGAGAGTGCATAGGATACTCTGAAGGACCGGATCAAAAGTCTTGACCAGTCTGTTCAGTTGATGGGTGTATTCTTAGGTTGGATCTGCAGGTAGTTGTCTGTAGTGTTCTGGGTTATTCAGTTGTCGGTACACTTCCTTGCTGTATTGAGTATGAGGATAAACAAGTTATGCTGCAGCTCTATGGAACTTCAATTAGGCTACACTTGGAATATTGCATACAATTCTGGTCACCACATTACCAGAAGAATGTGGATGCATAGGAGAGGCTACAGAAAAAGTCTATCAGGATATTGCCTGGTGTGGGGGATTTTAGCTATGAAGAAAGTTTGGATAGACTGGGGTCGTTTTCACTGGAATGCAAAAGGTTGAGAGGCGACCTGACAGAAGTTTATAATATTGTGAATGGCATGGATAGGGTGGAAAGTATGAGGTTTTTTCCCCAGGGTGGAGGGGTGAAATACTGAGGGACACAGGTTCAAGGTGCGAGGGGGGGGAAGTGTAAAAGAGATGTCTGAGGCAAGTGGTGATGCCTGGAACACATTGCCAGAGAAAGCAGTGGAAGCAGACACAATAGCAGCATTCAAAAACCACCTGGATGAATAATTAAATAGGAAGGGAACAGAGGGAGATAAATTCTATAAGTGAAGACTATTTTAATGTGGAAGGGCAAAATGTGTCGGTGCAGGCTTAGAGGGCTGAAGGGCCTGTTCCTGTACTATATTGTTCTTTGTTCTAGATTCATTAATTTTGGGATGGTGGGTCTAACGTATGAGGAGAGATTGACTAGGTTAGGATTGTTTTCGCTGGAGCTCAGATGAATGAGGGGGATCTCAAAGAGACTTACAAAATTCTAACAGGTCCAGGCAGGGTAGATACAGGTAGGATGTTCCCGATGGTGGGTGTGTCCAGAACCAGAGGTCACAGTATGAGGATTCGGGGTAGACGATTTCGGATGGAGATGAAGGAGACATCTCTTCACCCAAAGAGTGGTGAGCCTGTGCAATTCATTACCACAGGAAGTAGTTGATGCCAGAACATTGAATGTATTCAAGAGGCAGCTAGATATAGCACTTGGGATGAATAGGATCAAAGGTTTTGGGGAGAAAGCAGGAATAGGCCATTGAGTTGGATGATCAGCCATGATTGTGATGAATGAGGAGCAGACTTGAAGGGCTGTATGGTCTCCTCCTGGTCCTATCTTCTTTGTTTCTATGTTTCTATTCTAGCAGAGCAGCAGGGAGGGAGTCGAATGGATGTTAAAACATTTCATCATCCCCATCTGCTGCCAGTAAAATTCTAGGATCTTCGTTTTCCCTTCCTCCCACTGCAGGCTGTAGGTCCCCTCATGTTATTCCCAAAAATATGGGATCCATCATGTTTTCTTCTGACCTATTAAGCTGTTGAATTTCTCATTCCCCTATCCCAAACAAGAGAGAATCTAACCATTCCTCCTTGTCATTCAATGGTATCACTATCACTGCATCCCCCACTGTCACCACTGTGGGGTTACCATTGATCCGACACTGCACTGGACTCACCATATAAATACAGTGCTTAGAAGAACAAGTCAGAGGCTAGGAATATCGCAGTGAGTATCTCTCCTCCTGGCTCCGGCATAAGTCAGGAGTGTGATGGAGTACTTCCCACTTGCTTGGATGTGTGCAGCCCCAACAACACTCAAGAACCTCAACACCATCCAGTTCAAAGCTCCCATTTTATTGGCACTACATCCATAAATATCCCCTCCTCCACTACTGATACTCAGAAGCAGCAGTGTGTATTGTCTACAAGATGCACAGCAGAAATTTGCAAAAGATGTTTAAACAACATCTTCCAAACCCATGCACCTTTCCATCTGGAAGGAAAAGGGCAGCAGATACATGGGAGTACCATTCTCTGCAAGATCCCCTGAAAGCCACGTACCATTCTGACTTGGAACTATATTGCCATTCCTTCAGTGTCACTGGGTCAAAATGCTGAATTGCCTCCCTAAGGGCATTATCTAACATGCACATGGACTGCAGTGTTCAAGAAGGCAGTCAAACAACACCTTCTTAAGGGATGTGTAATAAGTTAGTAACTTGCACATTCTCTGAATGCATTACAGAGAGAAAAAAAAGCCTGTAGACCCCTTCCACTTCCTCAAATGGTAGATCCCCTCACATTCCCCAAACTATAAACCCCTTGCCTTCACATCCTAGGCTATGGCATCATTCTCCCAATAAATTTTGGAACCATTCACAGCCACCCCCAAAATATGGGACTCCTCACCTCTTCAATGTGTAACTGTGACTTCTTGATGTCAGAGTATGAAATGAATTTAGAAATGGACAGCCTGGAAGCGGAACAAATGCCAATGTTTGCAATAGCATTGGAAGAAGAGCCTATTCAACTCATAAACAAAGCTGGAACAGACAGCATTCGACCCCACATCAGTCCCAGAGGCATCGTCAAAATCCGAAAATACTTTCCAGAGACGTGGATTTGGGATCTTGTCCCTGTTGGGTGAGCAAGGAATTAATCTGCTGGTTCAGGGGAATCCAAGAGGTTGGTGTGGGGTGGTACACACAGGCTGGGATTGGAGAAGTGCAAGGATCTAAAAGGAAATTGGAACTGGAGGAGTTTACAGAGACAGGGAGGTGTGTAGGTGCAAGAAGAGTGTACGAAGATAGGGCTGAAGGGACTGGGGGAGGTTTCAGAAATAGTGAGGGGTGTAGGGGCTGGAGGAGTTACAGAGATTTGAAGATGTATAAAGACTGGAGAAGTTTACAGAAATAGGCTGTATTCTAGGGGCTGGAGGTGGCTTCAGGGATAGGGAGGATTATAGGGGCTGGAGGAGGTTATAGAGAAAAGGAAGGTTGTAGATGCTAGAGGAAGTTACAGAGATTGAGAGAGTTGTAGGGACTCAAAGATTAAAGAGATAGGAAAGTTTGTAGGGATTTGGGAGGATTATAGAGATAGGCATGGTGGAGGGACTGGAACAGGATACAGAGATAGTGAGTGTATAGGGTCTAGAGGAGCTTACAGAAAGGCAGCGTTGCAGGGTTTAGAGGAGGTTACAGAAGTAGGGAGGAATGTAAGGACTGGAGGAGGATACACAGATAAGGGGGTGTGTAGGTGCTGGTGGAGGTTATTGAAAGGGAGATTGACGGGAGGTCACAGGGATAGGGAGGTTTGTAGGAGCTAAAGGAGGTAAAATAAATGTGGATTGTTATAGGGACTGCAGGAATCACTGAAATAATAAGGAGTATTGGGGCTGAAGGAGAGTTCACAAATAGGGAGGGTTGTCGGGGCTGGAGGTTACAGAGGTAGGGAGGGGTCAAGGTCTGCAGGAGTTTACAAAGGTATTAAGTGGTGTAGGGCTTGTAGGAAATTACAGGGATAGGGTGGTGTTTGGAGAGTGGAGGTGGTTACAAGGAAAGGGAGCAAAAACAGAAGTTGCTGGAAAAGCTCAGCAGGTCTGGCAGCATCTTTGAAGGAAAAAAACAAAGTTAATGTTTCGGTTCCAGTGACCCTTCCTCAGAACATTCTGAGGAAGGGTCACCGGACAAGAAACGTTAACACTAACTTTTTTCTTCACAGATGCTGCCAGACCTGCTACGCTTTTCCAGCAACTTCTGTTTTTATTCTTAAATTACAGCATCCGCAGTTCTTTTGGTTTTTACAAAGAAAGGAATCATTGTAGGGACTGGAGGATCTTACAGAGGAAGGGAGGAGTATAGTTACTGGATGAGATAACAGTGATAAGGAGGGGTGTAGAGGCTGGAGGATTTCACAAGGATAGGAAGGATTGTAAGAGCTGATGGAAGTCACAAGAATAGGGTTTGTTTTCAGGGATGGGGGAGGCTACAGAGAGGGAAAGATGGATAGGGGTTAGAAGAGTTAGGGAATGTGGCAGGGGCTGGAGGAGGTTACAGAGATATGGTGAGTGTGGTGACAGGAGGAGTTTAATAGAGATTGGGATGAATGTAGGATGAATAGGGAGAGGTGTGGATGCTGGGCAAGGTGACAATGATAGGGAGAATTGTGTATCCTGGATGAAGTTGCAGAGATATGGAACCTCAAAGGATCTGGATTAGGTAGCATCTAGTAGATGGCATGGTACATTAGTAGCAGGGTCTAGATGCTGGAGGAGGTTTCAGATAGGAAGTGTTGTAAGAACTGCCAGAAGTCAGAAAGGGTTGTTAATGCAGGAATAGCTTATAAAGATATTGGGGAGTGTAGGGCCTGGAGGACGTAACATATATGGGGCTGCAGCAGATAGAGGATGTTACTGAGTTTGGTTCAGGTTCAGGGCTGTATGACATAACAGAGGTAGGATGGGTTGTAGGTGCAGGAGGAGGTTACTGATATTGGTTGTGGTGTTGGGGATTTCAGAGGTTATAGAGTAGGCAGGGTTGTATGGGAAGGAGTTGGTCAGTAATGAGGGATGAGGTTGTTGACTTGCTTGTCCAGCTGGCTTGTTCTCGTTCACATGTTTCATCACCATGCTAGGTGACATCATCAGAGGACCCTCTGATGAGGTGATGTTATTCTACGCTCAACTTTAACATCCAGAAACGGAAGTTGATTGTTGCTTTCTTCTTCCCCTGTGAATTTAATCCCTGTGAATACGCTGTTGATGAGGTGGTGGGTCTCTTCTAATTTGTTGCATTGAATAATGGCAAATGTGTCGTCTACGTACCGGATCCACAGTTCAGGTTGAAGTTGAGCGTATGACCAACGGGGAGTATACAGAAAAGCAACCCACACTGATCAAATCCTCAACTTCCACAGCAACCACCCCAACGTCCACAAACAAAGCTGCATTAGGACACTATTTAAATGGGCCAGGACACACTACAACATTCCAGAACTATGCAGGAAAGAGGAACAGCACCTTTACAAAATCTTTGCTGTAAACAGATATCCCCGCCACTTCATTTGCAGATGCCTACTAAACAGGCAACAACGGGAGAACACATTACGCCCTAACACACTGATCACACTGCCAATACATCAGGAACATATCAGAACTGACAACAAGACTCGTAAGACCACTAGGAATCACGGTGGCCCACAAGCCCACAGCTACTCTACGACAAACACTTTCAAGGATTAAAGACCCGATTCCCACAACATGCAGAACGAGCATGGTTTACAAAATACCATGCAACAACTGCCACAAACATTACATCGGACAGACAGGAAGGAAACTAGCCATCAGAGTACATGAACATCAACTAGCAGCAAAACGGCACAGCGAACTCTCCTTAATATCGATACACACAGACAATGAAGGCCATCAATTTTGCTGGGACAAGGTAACCATAGTAGCCCAAGCCAAACATAGACTTGCACAGGAATTCCTAGAGGCATGGTTCTCCACCTGTAATGCAATCAATAAACATACAGAATTGGACCCCACATACAAACCTGTACAGATCAAACCAGAAATGACACTACTCACCATAACGGATCAGACAGTATAAATTCCAAGCAGACTAGAATAACATCGCTTCATCGGAGGTTCCACCGATGATGTCACCTAGCATGGTGACGAAACGTCTGAACGAGAATAAGCCAGCTTGGCGAGCAAGTCAACATTCTCACCCACAACCCGAGCTACAGATCTTTGCCAAAACTTTAAGTAATGAGGGATTACTGCATAGTTAGAGGATCAGTACTGAGGGAATGTCACACTGCTGGTTTATCAGCACTGAGGTATGCTGCACTGTTGGAGGGCCAGTGCTGAGGGAGCGCTGCATTGTCAAACTTCAGTGCTGAGGGAGTGCCACACTGTCGGAAGGTCAGTGCTGAGGGAGTGCCGCACTGTCGGAGGGTCAGTGCTGGGGGATTGCCGTACTGTCGGAGGGTCAGTGCTGAGGGAGTGCCGCACTGTCGGAGGGTCAATGCTGAGGGAGGGCTGCACTGTCGGAGGGTCAGTACTGAAGGAGTGCTGCACTGTTGGAGGATCTCACTGTTAGTGTTTTTTATTTCAGTGCACACTGTCTTGTCCTATTCTTTGACTGCCTTCCTTTCGTCTCAGATCCTCTGGGAGTGTCTCTCTCCCCATCACAGTTCCAGACTCTATCACTGAATGGAAAGGCAGCATGTTCTGTACTAGCCATGTGGGAATTGGAATCTCTGATACCATCACCTTTAACGCATTCAAACCATTCTTTGTCGAACTGGCTCTCCCCTTTTCTGTTGTCAGAACTGAGGGTTTCGCCCTCAAGGCCAAAGTCTTCAACTACCTGACGCAATGTATCGTGGTGAGTGAGCTTTCCTGCTTGTTCTTCCACTGTGGGATGAAGCACCAACCTCTTTCCTGCCATTGGCCCCCAGCATCACACCAGTAACTGCATCATGTTAACTGAATACAGGCCAGGGACAAATTGTCCGCATTTCCTGCTCTTCGCATTGGGTGCCAAACTTAGAGCAGAGTATTTGTTATTCCTGCATGAGATACATGTGTTTGTCTCTGGCTGGGCCAGCATTTGTTACCCATTGCTGAGCTCCTTTCTTTAACTGCTGGCATCCCTCTGGGTCTACCTACAGTACAGTGTCTCTAGGGAGGGAATTCAGCGATTCTGACACAGCAGCACTGAAGGAACAGTGATATATTTCCAACTCAGGATGGTAAGTTGCTCAGAAGGGAACTTACAGTAGGTGGGGTTTCCATGTGGCTGTTGCCCTTGTTCTTCCATATGGTATTGGTCGTGGGTATGGAAGGTGCTATCTAAGGAGCCTTAGTGAATTTTGGCAGTGCACCTTGTAGGCAGTGCACACAGGTTATTGCTGAGCAGTTGCTGCTTGATAGCCCTGTTGATGACACCTTGCATCCCTTTACTGATATTCGACAATAGATTGATGGGGCAGTAATTTGTGAACGTTTAGACTGAGTCCTGTGCTGTGGCACATTTACCCCCTTCCTGTTCTTTCTTGTCCTCAGGTGAAGGTGACCCTTCTGAATGCCCAGGGATTTACTGTAACAGCAGAAAGTGACACCGAACATATGACTTGCATCTGCTCCCAAGACAGTCAAACTTTTAGCTGGCATCTACTCGCCACTGGACTGGGTTAGTAATTTACTGAGCACCAGGCTCTAATCTCGGCCAAGGCTGAGGCTGGTCAGGCCAGGAACCTGCTTCCAATCCCTGGGTGAGGGAGAGAGGGGGAGAATTATTCTGGGTACCTGCTCCTGATGCCTGAGTGTGGGGGTGGGGGAGTGGAATCAGCCTGGGTACCTGCTCCCGATCCCTGGGTTAGGGAGGGAGAGGGAGAACCAGCACAGGATTCCACTCCTAATCCCTGTGCAGTGATCCCTAGATTAAAGAAAAAAGGTGAATCAGTCTGTGCACTGATACCTGATCACTGCCCAGCGATCCCTGGATTAGGGAAGGATTGGGAGCATCATCCCAGGTTCCTGCTCCTAATCCCTCCTCAGTCACAGGGATAGAGAGGGACAAAATCAGCCCTGATACCGGCTCACATTTCATTTCCTTTCTCTCTCAATGATCTAGGCCAGCAGAATTTGACAGTACAAGCTGAATCGATTGCCTCCGAGACTCTGTGTGGGAATGAGTTTGCGATTGTCCCTGCTAAAGGAGCCATGGATGTCATTCGGAAATCCCTCCTGATCAAGGTCAGAACCGGGGACTGATCGAGATGTAATCTGAGTGAGTGCAGGGTAAAGGGAGGGCTGTGATTGGGCAGAAGGGAGACATGGACTGACAGAGGAGTGAACATTCCAGGGTCAAATGGACTGGTGATTGGGTCAAGAAATATTACGAGGGAACACGAGATGTACCTAGAGCAGGTATCCTGCTGACTGAAAGATGTCAAGTCCAAGGAAGAAAGGAAATGGAGATAAAATAGGAATAAGATTTTAAAATTGAGTGAGTCCCTGTGTTTAGTCTTCCCAGTACAGGGGGAGTGCCTGTGTTTTGACTCTGCTGGAGGAATGCACTGGAAATGAAGGCTGGGGTCTCCCCAGGCCCTGCCTAAAGTCTCAAAGTTTTAATTCAACTGGTAAAATAGACAAATTATTTTCCTTAGTGACTATCATCAGAACAGACTTTCAATGAATTTCTTTAATAAACTCAGACGTATCCCATTTATCACAAAATAAACCAATTTTTTAAGTTACAGAATGGGTTGGCAACTAAGGTATATGCCGCAGACAGAGGAAAGGAGAGTGTGAGTAAGGGGGAGAGGAAGATAGAGAGAGAGAGAGACAGACAGGCAGAGAAAACAAAGGTAAAAAATGCAGAAAGGAAGGAAAAAACACCATCTGTGGGCCAGTGGACTGAACACAAAAGGTAAATGTGATCTTTAAATTCCCTGAATTTCCTGTTGATGAAATCAAAATACTCATTAATGTGGAGTGATGGAATATCTTCAGGCACACTTAGTCGGAGATACTCGTATCTGAAATTTTCTCTGGATCACAGAAATAATTCTGAAAGAGAGAGAGTGTAATCTGTGCAGCTTGTCCTGTTTTAAGATTTCTCCTTGATTTTATTTTAAGGAGAGAGATTATCTTGCTGCAGGAGGTCTTCTCTCTTTGACTGATACACTCAGGTGTCCTGCACAAATAGGTTCCAAATTGAGAAGAGTCTTGCTGGGCAACGTTCAGAATAAAATTGGAAGAAAGGGGGCCTAAGTATGTCCAGCAAAGTCAGAAGCCATATCTTATCTTTCTCTTAAGCTTTGCTTGCCTATTTTCCAAAGTTACTCAACTTTTCATTAGTTAACAGGTGAGTCAGAGTTCTCTTTACTGTTAAACTATACACATTCCTTCACAATCCTGGTAAATTCTTATTAATCCAGAAATTCTTAACATTCAATATTCCTGTTTCCAATATCCACATATGATACTTCCATATCAAGATGTGTTTCCAACATAGCAGACGACGTAAAAAGCAAAAGACATTCACTTGGCGGAAGTGCATCCACTCTTCTGGTGGGCTCTGTGACTGTGTGCATTACTGAATGCCTTTAGAGGACTGACTGCCAGTAAATATGCCTGATCTCCCTTTGGGTCAGCTAGTTAATCAAAATGGAACATGACAATTTAAAGATATTTTACTGATTCACGTTTAATTGAGATTGATCTGGAATCTGATCGTTAAAGTAAACAGATTAAACCTGCCAAGTAATCATGGACTGTGTGGTCATGTAAGATGGTTTTTTTCTTTTACATTATTGCTTTTCATGATGGAATCATAACGTAATCACCCTCTCTCTCACTCTCTATATCTCTGCTTTTTCTGTCTCTCAATCTCCCTCTGCCTTTCACTTTCTGTTTTCGAAATCTCTGTTATCTGTTTCTTTATCGCTGTCTCCCTTTTTCTCCTCCTCACTCTTTAAACACATCTCTGTCCCACTATCACTTTCTTTCTCTCTCTTTTCTCCTCCCTCTTACCTCCCTCTCTGTCCATCTGTCTCCATCTCCTCTCTCTTCTTCCCACTCTTGCCTCCCTTTCTGTCCATCTATCTCTCCATCGCTGTCTTGCTCCCGCTCTCTCTTATTCTGTTTCTCTCTCATTTGTTACTCCCTTTTGTCTCTCTCTTCCTCTCTATCTCCCCCTCTCGCTCTGTCTCACTCCCTTGTGCTGACTCTGTCTATTGCGCTGTTTCATCCTCTCTACCACTCCCTCTCTGCCTCTTGCCCTCCTTCTCTGCCTCTCTTTCTCAATCTTTCTGTCCCTACCTCTCTTTGTCAATCTGAGTCTCCCTCTCTCTCTGTCATATTCTTCCCCTGTCTCTGTCTCTCTCTCACCCCACCTTCCTACCTTTCTGCCTTCCTAATTCTCAATCTTTTTGTTGCCTATTCTCTTTCCCTGACACATTTTTTCTCTTGCAGCCCGAGGGCATTGAGATTGAACTGATCCACAGCTCTTTGATGTGTCCAGCAGGTACAGGACTCCAGTTTACATTCTGGGCAATGGGACAGTCTGAACGACCAGTTGAGCGTCCTCAGCATTTGTCTGAGGGGAGGGACATAGTGAAGGAGTGTCCCTCAGCTCTGTCTCTGTGGGGAGGTAGACAGCGAGAGAGTGTCCCTCAGCTCTGGCTCTGTGGGAGGGAGACAGCGAGAGAGTGTCCTTCAGCTCTGATTATGTGGGGTGGGAGACAGCGAGAAAGTGTCCTTCAGCTCTGATTCTGTGTGAAGGGCGAGAACATGTGTGAGCGTGTATCCCTCAGCTCTGTTTGGAGATAGAGAGTATATAAGGGACTGCCTTCAGCACTGGGCCTGCAGGAGGGAGAGAGGGTGTATGGCAAAGGCAGACACAAAGACAGATATGTGAGAGAGAAAGAGAGACAGTGACACAGAGTGATAGTGATTGCATGTCAGAGATTTGTTGACAGTGGTTGAGGTGTTGGGGAATCCGATGGTCCAATGGGTCCAGGAGACTGCTGTCTGAGGAGACATCACTCTGGGAATGAGATTGGAGTTGATGCTGGTGATTGAGACATTAGCGGTAATCCTGGAAGGGGTGTGGCTGGGAGGTGGGGTTCAGTGCACTGTCAATGTTAATTATGTGGGTTGGCAGAGATTACTGGTGTTTCTCACATCTGATCTCATGATGTGCTTCGATCCAGGCAAGACCATCACTGAGGAGATCCAGCTTGAGCTTCCCAACGATGTCATCAAAGGATCAAGCAGGGCCTATGTCACTGTGCTGGGTAAGAATCTCATGGCAATCCAACTGAGGCTTGTACATAACTCTGGAAAGGTGAGGCTCAAGTCATGTCCCGCACTGAAGAATAATCGCAACCAGTGTGGTACTGACCTCCACAAGGATGAGAGAGAAACACGATCACATCACTGTCTCACTCTCTCCCTCCGTCACTTTCTGTCTCTCTGTTTTGGGACTGAGACTGGGAGCGGTGTTTCGGGGTTGAATATGGTTTGTGATTTGGAATTGAGATATGGTTTGTGTTTTGGGAATGACAATATGGTACGCGTTTCGTGATTGTTATCGGGGCTGAGATTAGGAGCTTGAAATCTTCTGACATACAATCACTAGAACAATGCTCCAGTATATAGTCTACTTGGGTTATCCAACCTGCTCCACAGGCTGATATCATTTAAACCTCAAATCTACTTACATCTTTCACTGTTTCATACCTCTTATCTACCTCAACCTTAAAAAATATTCAAAGAATCTGCTTCTGCCACCTCTGAGGAGTCATGATCCAAATCCTCACAGCCCCAGAGAGAAAGCAATCCCCTCATCTTTATTATAAATAGGTGACCCCTAGTTCTAGATTCTACCAGAGGAAGCAGCCTCTCCAGAACCACCCTGTCAAGACCCCTCAAGATATACATGGGTACAAGCCTGGTCTGTCTAACCTTTCCTCACAAGACAGCCTTTCCATTCCAGATGTTAGTCTGGTAAATCTTCACTGAACTGCCTCCAATATTTTTCTATTTTCCCTCAAATGCAAAGACCAATACCTTACACAGTCCTCCCGATGCAGTCTCACCAGTGCCTTGAAGCATAACCTCCCTATGTTTGTATTTAATTACCCTCGCAAGAAATGATAACATTCCATTAGCTTTCCTAACTACTTTCTGTACCTGCATATTAACCTTCTGCAATTGTCTTTAGTCTTTTCGAAGGGGAGATTTCTCCTGCACCCTGAACATTGTTTTGAATTTTTGAATGTTTCTCATCATTATTGTACATCGTTGTTTATCAGTATTGTAGATCAAAAAAAACTTTTCTTCCAGTTGATAAAGCTGGTTTTCACCTTATGAATGTTCTTATCTATCATTATCTTCACATTATGCTATTATCACTGTTGTCTATGTCCTCCCCAACTTTTACTACTCTTAGAGTCATTGAGTCGTACAGCACGGAAACAGACCCATTGGTCCAACTCGTCCATGCTGACTAAGTTTCCCAATTGCCTGTGTTTGGTCTATATCCCTTTTAACCTTTCCTATTCTTGTACCTGTCCAAATGTCTTTTAACTGTACCTGCACCTATCACTTCCTCTGGCAGTTCATTCCACAAACAAACCACATTCCGTGTGAAAATGTTGCCCCTCCTGTCACTTTTAAATCTTTCTCTTCTCACGATAAAAATATGCCCCCTAGTTTTGAACTCTACCACCTGAGGAAAAAGACTTTTGCTATTCACCTCATCCATGCCCCTCATGACTTTATAAACTTCTACAATGTCACTCCTCAACCTCCTATGCTCCAATGAAAAACGTCTCAGTCTACCCAGCCTCTCCTTATAACTCAAGCCCTCCAGTCCTGCCAACATCCTGGTGAATCTTTTCTGAACTTTCTACAATTTAATAGTATCCTTCCTATAGCAAGATGACCAGAACTATACACAGTACTCCAAAAGTGGCCTCACCAACATCCTGTAAAACCTCAACATGACATCCTAACTCCTATAGGCAATGGTTTGAGCAATGAAGGCAAGCGTGCTAAACACGTCCTTAACCACCCTGTCTACATGTGACACAGCTTCCAAAGATTTGTGTACCTGAACCCCTAGGTTTCTTTGTTCGACAACACTACCAGGGCCCTACCATCAACTGTATAAGTCCTGCCCTAGCTTTTGTACCAAAATGTAATACCTCACATTTATCCATAAACTCCATCTGCCACTCCTCAGCTCATTGGCCTAACTGATCAAGATCCCTTTGTAATCTTAGATAACCTTTTTCACTGTCGATGTACCACAAATTTTGGTGTCATCCACAAACTTACTAACCATGCCTCCTAAATTCTCATCTAAATCAATTATATAAATAACAGAAAACAGTGGACCCAGCACCAATCCCTACAGAACACCTCCAGTCCAAAAAACAACCCTCCACACCACCCTCTGTCTCCTATTGTCGAGCCAATTTTGTGTCCAATTGGCAAGTTTTTCCTGAATGCCATGTTGAATTGAATGATTTATTGACACTTGCATATTACAGTGAATGAAACAGTTAATTACAGTTAAAAGATTCAACCGATGTCACAATTTAGCCTCCACCTCCCCTCCAACACCTCATCTCCAACTGCACTGGACCTACTCTTTAGGCGCTATCTCTTCGCTGCTGGCCCACCTCCCCAATGTGGCTGCAGATGCCAGGCCACGCACTGAACTCGTACTTGCCCCACAACCAGGAGTCTTTGGCTTCTCTGCATCATTGATAATCCGGAATCTCTGCTCTGGACCTGCCAATACCACAACCAGGATGCTCTAGTTCAGGTGCCATCTCAATGACATCAGGAGTCCCTATTCCAGGCATATCATGCTGCTGCCAATACCAGGTCTGGGCCTACTGCAACCAGAAGTCCCTACCTCCACTGCCAGGCCATGCCGCAGATACCTCACCAAGAAGCCGAAATGTCAGCTTTCCTGCTCCCCTGAGGCTGCCTGGCCTGCTGTGCTCCTTCAGCTCCACACTGTGTTATCCCTCACAAAGAGTTTGCTTCAATTGCTCTCCTCCGAGATGTTGACTCGCCGGTGCCGCCATCTTGAACGGTTCACCGCCGCCCCCTCAAATTGTTGGGAGGAGTCATGTCTCCCGCCACCACCTCCAAAGGCTAGGAGGCTGCTGTCATTCTGCCAACGGCCCACTGCTTCTGCCATGTCAAGGCCATCGATTAACCCGACACTAAAAGTTTTAAAGAAAACAATTGTGAAAATGAAAGAATAAGAGCAGAAATAAACGAAAAGAAAATTGTAGTGATTGGAACGACGTGGACCTCGTCGACTATGAGGTCCTTGATTGAGGTTGTTAACCTGGGCCAATCAGGAAGCCTTGGCTGATCAATGTTAACAGGGGATTTAGAATCTCTTCAGTTCAGGGGACTGACTCCGAGCTGGCCGGCTACAGCCAGTGTACTGGACATAAGTAAATAAAGGGTTACTTGGTAATGGGATACTGGCCTCTGAGGGGTTATTTCAAAAAAGAAAGAAGGCAAACAGGAATGGTTGAGCACTGGGCTCAAGAGCCACCATGCAACTCTGCTACTCTGCCACCGTCTTGAATACTCTGCCAGTGCTATCTCTCAAAATCCCCTCCAACATCTTACCCACCACTGATGCCAGACCCACTGGCCAATAGTTCCCAGGCTTCTCCTTCCAGCCTTTCTTCAATAAAGGCACAATATTAGCCAGCCTCTAGTCCTTGACACCTCACCCATTGCTGTAGATGAAACAAATGTCTCTGCTAGGATCCCAGTAATCTCTTCCCTAACTTCCCACAATGTCCTAGGATACACTTGATCAGGTCCTGGAGATTTATCCACCTTTATGTTTTTAAGATCTCCACTTTTGTAATGTGGACTCTTTTCAAGGCATCAATATTTATTTCCCCCCATTCCCTAATCTCTCTCTCACTTTCTCCACAGTAAAAATTGCTATCTTTTCTGTTTTGAGCTCCATTACTATCAATCTTCCTTTTTGGCAAATTTTACACTTTGGGTTCAGAGTGATTCCTATATACATTATAGGAACTACATTCTCTTATCCCCTCAGCTACCTCTTCAGTCCAATTCATATCCTGGTTATTAAAATCCCACAAGATTCCTTTCTTAATGTTCCATTGTATTGTACTCAGTTTTTGGGTGAAGTGTTTGGTTTGGTTGGAGCCTTTTGAACTCTGTCAGAGGAGTCTGTGAGCAATGTTCTCTCTCTCCAGGGGACATACTGAGTTCTGCGATGCAGAATCTGGATGGGTTATTGAGACTGCCCACAGGGTGTGGAGAACAGAACATGGTGAAATTTGCCCCAAACATCTACGTGCTGAGATACCTGAACAAAACAGATCAGCTCACTCGGGAAATTCAGGACAAAGCAATTAGCTACCTACAGACAGGTAGATCTCTGCTGGAATGTGTTACATTGTGTGACCGTGTCTGTAGTTATCTGTGTATGTTGTATGTGTCCATGCGTGTAACTGTGTGTCTGTTACTCTGGGTATGAGTGAGTGTGTTACTCTGTGTTGTCGGACAGTGTTAGTCTGGATGTGCGGATGAGTGTTCTGCTGTGGTTGTGTGTATGAGTATGTTACTCTGGGTCTGTGTGTGTATGTTACACTGGATGTGAGTATTACTCTGGGTGTGAGTTAACGTGTGTAGGTAGTGTGTGAGTGAATGTATTATTCTTGTGTGTTATACAATGTGGAAGTGCATTACTCTGGGTCTGAGTGAGTGCATGAATCCATGTGTGTGTATATGAGTTAACCTTTCTTAATGTAATTTGCACTATAACTTTCTTTGGCTTGTTTAACCTCTATTAACTTGCTCACTACTCCACAGGATACCAGAACCAGCTGACATACAAACATCACGATGGATCCTTCAGTGCATTTGGAGATGGAGATCATGAGGGAAATACCTGGTACAGATGAAGAGAAATTATCAATTTCCACATTCCTGCCTCTCTGGCACACCTCACACGCATGTACAATACACATACACTGAGTAAATAGTGATCACAACGAGTATATAAAAAAGTTAAAAGCCAAGCTTTTACCAAATTCAATGAGAGATAATGATCATAATACACATAGAACGGGCTAAAACTATATCTCTCACACAGATTCCCTGGAGAAATAGTGATCATCATAAACATGGAGAGGGCTGAAAGACGCTCACACATACACTGGATTCACTAAGTAGTAATCTTAACAATCTCAGAAAGATGAAAGTTACAAACATAAAAATCTACTGGAAAATAGAGACTGGTCATAATACCCATAACTAAATTCACGCACAGACCCACACACGTGTACACATGCACGTATATAAACACACACACACACACGCACACACAGACACACACAGACACACACACACAGATTCACTGGAGAAAGAAAAAAAAATCATTCAGGGGAGTGGGCTTTGCTGGTTGGGTCAGCATTTATTACCTCTCCCGAATTGATCTTGTGAAAGTGATGGTGATCTGCATTGTTGAACTGCTGCAGTACATTTGGTGTGGTGGATACAGCATTCTGTGTGTGTACGTCCATACATATACCTAGAAAGCTGGAAGTCATACACACACACATTGGAAAGTAGTTTTATACACAGAGAATGCCAAACCTTATACCCTCATCATGATTCACTTGGAAATCGTGATCACAGCATGCCTTGAGAAAGCTGAAAGTGACACAAACTTACTGGATTTCATGTTGTAGTGAAGATCTGTAGCTTCAGTTGTGGTTGGACTTGTTGGTTGGTTTGCTGAGCTGACTGGCTTTCGTACAAACGTTGTGTCCCCCTTCTAGGTATTCAGTACTGTCTAGTTTCCGTTGAAGCGCTGTCGTTCTATTCCATTCTGAATTTATATTCTATTCACCTTGATCAACATAACACTAGCAAAGGAGACATTAGCCATATTACTAGACAATCTGAAAACACAGACCTCCAGTGAAACCATCAGCAAGGACAATATGCTGAAATTACTTGAGCTATACCTTACCACACACTTTGTCTTCACTGGCCAGGTATATGAACAAATTAATGTGACACCCATGGGCTCACCCATCTTGGGTCTTATAGCGGAAACTGTTATGCAAAGACTGGAACACACTGCCCTCCCCCAGATCCAGCCTAAACTATGGGTTAGATATGTGGATGATACCTTCGGTGATCATTGAACGAGCAAAGTTAGAAGAAACACACCACCTTATTAACTGCGTATTCACTGGGATCAAGTTCACCAGGGAAGAGGAAAACAACAATCAACTCCCATTTCTGGACGTAATGCAGGAATGAACGAACAATGGGGAATTCCTTACCTGCAGATACAGAAAGACTACACGTACAGACCAAATCCTGAATTACAACAGTGGCCACCCCAGTGTCCACAAACAGGGCTGTGTGAAGACTCTGTTTAAACGAATGATAACATACTGCGACACCCCGGAGCTGTGCAAAAATGAAGAGGAACACCTATACAAAGTCTTTGCAAACAATGGGTTATCCTAACAGCTTCATTCGCCAATGCCTGGCAAACAAACAACACCAAGAAGACACTCTATGCCCCAACACACTGGCCACCCTACCCTACATTAGAAACACATCGGAACTGGCTACAAGACTCCTCAGACCTCTTGGAATAATAATAGACACAAACCAACAACCGCACTTTGCCAGTTACTCTCAAAGACGAAAGACCCCATACCCACAATGAGCAGGACAAATGTGACATACAAAACACCAGGCAGCAACTGCAAGAAGCAATACATAGACAGATGGGCAGGAAACCCGCCACTAGAATACACGAACACCAACTCACAGCAAAAGGGCACGACCAACTCTCCCTCGTTTCTATTCCCTCCGACACAGAAGGACATCAGTTTAACTGGGACAAAGTTACAGTACCAGGACAAGCAAAACAAAGACATGCGCGAGTATTCCTGGAAGCCTGGTTTTCAGTCACTGGTACTATGTACAAACATGTTGAAATACACATACCATTACAGAGCAAAACCGGAAACAGAACTACCTACCATATCACATCGGACCATATAAATTCAGAACGGAACAGAACAACAGCTTTTTAATGGAGTCCAGACAGCGCTGAAGATGTCACCTAGAAGGGGGATGAAATGTTTGCACGAAAACCAGTCAGCTTGGCGAACCAACCAACCCCATACTGGGATTCACTGGGAAATGATAATCAAAATATGTGCAGAGTCTCACACATGTGGAATCCTGGGGAAATGGTAATTGCAAAGCAAAGAGAGATGGAGTCTCTGTCTCTCTCAGACATGCACACACACACACATACAAATTTCACCAGAATATAGTGATGATAGTCCATAGACAAACGACTGAAAGCAGCACATAAAGAGTTTTAAAAACCTAGTTTTCACCAAGATTATTTCTAAGAGACTGAATGAATCAAAGAGAGGGGGTGTGGGGAGCTATCAGAAGGAGAGGGACCAACACCAGGTAAGAGTGAGGGTCAGCAACCAAGAGACAGAGCTAGTCACAGACAGCAGAAAATACAGAGAACATACAAAATACTAAGGAAGAAGACATAAGGAGCTGTCAATATTCAGCTTCCACCATATCATAATCTTAGCCCTTTCTTGCAGGTTGACAGCCTTTGTGATGAAATCATTTGCAACTGCTCGTCAGTACATCTTCATTGATAATGACATCTTTGAAGACGCTGTCAGATTCTTCCAGAGGCATCAACTGGAGTCGGGCTGTTTCCAAAACCTCGGATATTTGTTCAACAATGCCCTCAAGGTACCAAGGGCAAAAGGCAGTACTGAGGGTCAGGGATCAAAAGAATTTGTATTTGAGGTCAATAAGGCACCATGACTGGCAGGTTTTCGAAGGAAGTGAGGGTACAAATTGCAGACACAATGACCATGAACTTTCAGCCTGCCCTAGACTCAGGGGAAATGCCAGAAGACTAGAACATTGCAAATATTACAGTCTGGTTCAAGAAAGGTTGTGAGGATAATCCCTGCAATTACAGAGCAGTCAGTTTAAGTTCCGGGTGAGAAAGCTTCCAGAAATAATTATTTCAAATCAAATTGGTAATATTGTGGAATAAGGTGGGTACTAAATCAATACTGAATAAATGAGAGTAATAAATGAGAGTAATAAAGGGGAAATCCTGTTTAACTGACTTGTTGGAGTGTCTATGAAGAGCCAAAATGATGAGGTTCAACGCAGAGAAGTGTGAGATGAAGCACTGTGATTAGAAGAAAGACAATATAAAATAGGGAGTACAAATTGAAACATGTCACAGGAGCAGAGGGACCTGGGTATATATGTGCACAGATCACTGAAGATGGCAGGAAAAACACACACTGCCCTCAGATTTTTAATAGGGGCACAGAGTACAAGAACAGGGAGGTAATGTTGAACTCATACAAGACACTTGTTAGACTTCAACTGGAGTATTGTGTACAATTTTGGGTGCTACATTAAAGCAAAGATGTGAACACATTGGAGTGAGTGCTGAATCAATTTACTAAAATAGTACCAGGAATGAGAATTTTCAGTGATGAGGATAAATTGAAGAAGTTGGGGCTGCTCTCTTTGGAGAGAAGAAGGATGAGAAGTGATTTGATCTAAGGTTTTTAAAATCATATGTAGGATGAAGAGAATGGATAGAGCGAAGCTGGTCCAACTCAAAAAGGAACAACAACAAGAAGGAGCATAGGTGGAAAATGGTGTGCAAATGAAGCAAGGGTGAATGTGATAAGACATAAGAATAAAAGTAGGCCATTCAGCCCATCAAACTGACACCACCAAGTGAAGTAAGGAAAACATCTTTCACATATTTGAAAGTCAGGTTATGGAATTTATTCAGAGATAGTAGGAACTGCAGATGCTGGAGAATCTGAGATAACAAGGTAGAGAGCTGAATGAACACAGCAGGCCAAGCAGCATCAGAGGAGCAGGAAGGCTGACGTTTCAGGCCTAGACCCTTCTTCAGAAAATAATTTTCTGCCTGCTGTGTTCATCGATGGAATTTATTGACTGGCAACGTAGCGACGGCAGGTCCAACTGAGACAATGGTGAGGGCAATGGATGATTATTTTGATGGGAATAAGGTGCAAGGGAGCTGGGTAACAACAGGAGATTGGGATGAGGTGATGATTTTCATTTAACGAGAAGGTACCAGCACGATTGATCAAAAAGCCTCTTTCTTCAACAAAACAATTATGTGGTTCAAAGAGCTGCACTATCTGAGGGTCAGTGTTGAGGGAGTGCTGCACTGCCAGAAGGTGAGTGCTGAGGGACTTCTGCACTGCCAGAGGATGAGTACTGTGGGAGTGCCGCACTGCCAGAGGATGAGTGCTGAGGGAGTGTCGCACTGTCGGAGGGTCAGTGCTGAGGGAGTGCTGCACTGTCGGAGGGTCAGTGCTGAGGGGGTGCCGCACTATCAGAGGGTGTACAACCTGAAGAGTTCTGTTCTCTCTCACTTACTCTGTCTCCATAGGGTGGAGTCAATGATCACATTTCTCTGTCAGCTTATGTGACGTCAGCATTATTGGAATCAACACTTTCAGGTTCTGAGATGGTGAGAACTTCAGCACAGACATCGGGAATCAGGGATTGGGGAATCTGAGGGCAAGAAACACGTGGGATTGGGGATTGTTGGGAGTGGGGAATCCAAGGGTGAGAAACATGTGGGGTCAGGGATTCTTGGGAGTGGGGAATCCAGGGACAAGAAACATGTAGGATCTGGGATTGTTGGGATTGGGGAACTTTGAGGTGAGAAATGTGGGATTGGGAATTGTTGAGAGTTGGGAATCTGTGGGTGAGAAACATGTGGAATCGGGGATTGTTGAGAGTGGAGATTACGGGGGGGGGTTGGTGAGAAATGGGTGGAATTGGAGATTTCTTTGGAGTGGGGAGTCTGGGAGTGAGAAACATGTGGGATTGTTGGGAGTTGGGAATCTGGCGGTGATCGGGGATTGAGGATGTAGGATGTCTATGCTTGAGGATTTGCAAAGCTTCTGGGTGTGAGGGGGGAATGTGGGGTGCGGAGCATGGGGAGTTGCAAGTGGGGGATTTTCACCATGTGCTCTATGTGTGACTCTGTGTCCCTCAGTCACTCTCTCCATCGTCTTTCTAGAGCCTGATTACAGACAGGGCCCTGAGCTGCCTGCGGTCTGCATTAGAGACAGTGAACAGCACCTACACCCTCTCAGTTCTCGCCTACACCTTCACCCTGAGCCAGGACCAGTTTGCGAGGACAAGAGCTCTCCAGCGGCTGGAAAAGTTGGCCATCAAAACAGGTATGGCTATGTTCATCCACAGTCCCTCTGTGTCTGTCTCCTGCTCTCTCTTCCCTCACTACCCTTTCATTTCCTCTGACCAGAGAGTGCTGGGACTTTGGCCCGTGGGCTGTCCATGGTTGGTGGCATGGTGGGTCAGTGGTTAGCACTGCTGCCTCACAGCACCAGGGACCTGGGTTTGATTCCACCCTCAGGCAACTGTCTGTGTGGAGTTTGCACATTCTCCCTGTGTCTGGGTGGGTTTCCTCCAGGTTCTCCGGTTTCATCCCACAGTCTAAAGATGTGCAGGTCAGGTGGATAGGCCATGCTAAATTGCCAGTAGTGTCCAGGGATGTTTAGGTTAGGTGGGTTAGACATGGGAAATGTACGGGTAAGGGAATGGGTCTGGGTGGGATGCTGTTCGGAGGGCCAGTGTGGACTTGTTGGGCCAAATGGCCTGTTTCCACACTGCAGGGATTCTGTGATCTGTGAATAACTAATGGTGAGCCTCCCGTCTCTGGGTTGCAGACAGATTGACTCATTGGCAGCAAGAGGAGACCCTGGAGAGAAAGGAAGAACACGGATACTGGTGGAGAGCACCCTCTGCAGAGGTTGAAATGACAGCCTACGTGCTTCTGGCCCTTCTCTCTCAGCCCCAGGTCACACACTCTGAGTTGGACAATGCCACATCCATTGTTCGCTGGCTGGTCAAGCAGAGGAATCCCTATGGAGGCTTCGCATCAACCCAGGTAATACCCAGAGAGTGGTCCTCAGTATAATTCTGGCTGTGAGATCTGATCATTCTGAAGAGGTACACATCATTTCAGGATGGAATAAAGAAGGTTGATAATGCAGAACTGGTAGATGTAGTATATATAGATTTTCAGAAGGCATTCAGTGAGGGGGTGGAAATAATTAATAGGCAAAAAAATGGTTCATGGAGTTAAGGATGGTTTATTAACATTGCTAAGGGCAGAGCTAATCATTGGCTAATCAAGTTCAAGAGCAGAAAGTGGGCAGAATAGTGAACATTTGGAGTTGGCGGGTATTGAATAGAGTGGTCTAGAACAAGGGACACTACCGGGGGATCAGATGCAAACTGCATGAATAGAGAGATGGGGAGTCACATGCTGAATTTTGCTAATAATTTGAAGCTAGCTACAAAGGTAGGAGAACTCTGAAAAGGTTGGCTGTGCCATGGCTGTGACTGCAGAAGGATCATAGGCAGTCAGCGTATAGCTACAGCAAGCAATTGGGAAGGCAGATAACACGCCCTTGGTTCTGAGGGGATTGGAGTACAGCACTAAAGTCTTGTTCCAATCATACAGGGAGCCAGTGAGACCACAGGTAGAATACTGCGTACAGTATTAGCCTCTGCATTCACACATTGGAGGCAGTTCATCAGATTATTTCTGGGATGGAGGACCTTGTCCTGCGATGGAATGCTGAGAGAATTAGGTCAATGTTGCCTGGAGTTTAGGAGAATGAGAGGGGATTTCATTGAGACTGACAATGTTCTCTAGGAGGTAGGCAAAAGGGGAATCACTGAGAGATTGTCCTCACCCTTGACCCCACCCTGCTTGGGGAAAGTGCTGTGTGGGGACACATTCTCAGGAGAGAAGGGCAGTCTTAGACTGAGATGAAAGGACGTTTCTTCCCTCAAAGGGGTGTGCAGCTCTCTATTTCTTCACCCCAGAGGGTTGTGAATGCCCCATTGTGGAATATATTTCACACAGGGATTCGGTACACTTTGGTCTGTTGCGGGGTGGAGGGATTTGGGGAGTGAGGAGGCGAGAGTGTGGAGCTGAAGCCAATGATTAGCCAACGATTGCACTGCATGGTCGAGCAGGCATGATAGAGTGAATGCTCTACTCCAGCCTTTAAAAGCTCTTGTGTCTTGGCTGGGATTAAAGGCTGGGCCTTTCCTCGTGTGAGTGTCAGTGTGTTTTCCTGTCGCTGGTGTGGGGGTGCACTACCAGAATGACCAACCCTTTCCTTCTGCCCCCAGGACACAGTGGTTGCTCTCCAGGCCCTGTCTCTGTACACTGAGCTGACCCATGTGGGTGGTCATCAGAGCTCAGTGACTGTCACCTCGGAAACAACATTCCAACGGGAATTCCGTGTTGATGATTCCAACCAGCTCCTGCTCCAGAGGGAGGCCTTGGCAGAGATTCCCGGAAAGTACAATGTGTTGATCACAGGGAGCAGATGTGTCCTCCTCGAGGTCAGTCACTGCTTCCCCAGCTATCCTGAGGGAGGGACACGGGTGGGGGAGTTGGGTGGAGGCAGGAGTGAGGGACACGAGGGAGGCAGGAGTGAGGGGCACCGGTGGATGGCAGTGAGGGGCACAGGGAGGTGGGAGTGAGGGACGCGGGTAGAAGGTGGGAGTGAGGGACACGGGGGGAGGTGGGAGTGAGGGACACGGGGGGAGGTGGGAGTGAGGGACACGAAGGAGGCAGGAGTGAGGGACACTCAGGAGGTAGAGTGAGGGGCACAGGGAAGTGGGAGTAAAGGGGATGGGGGACAGTGAGGGACACAGGGAGTGGGAGTGAGGGACACGGGGGGAAGTGGGAGTGAGATGCGGGGGGAGGTGGGAGTGAGGGGCACGAGGGAGGCAAGAGTGAGGGACGCGGGGGGCGAGGTGGAAATGAGGGACACAGGAGGAGGTGGGAGTGAGCGACAAGAGCACGTAAGGGTGAGGGACACAGTGGCAGAGGGAGTGAGGGACAGCAGGAGGCGGGAGTGAGGGGCACAGGATGTTGAGAATGTTACTATGGGGATTTATTAGTGAGTGTTGGAGACTTGATGCTATTTTAGACACAAAGTAATTGATGGTTCCATCCCCAGACTATTCTCCGTTATAACGAACCTGTCAAACCCAAAGATTCTGTCTTCAAACTTTCGGTGGCAATGTTGGAACAAAATTCATTGGACCCTCTCCTTCAGGGGGAGTCAACTTATAGGATTTCTCTCAATGTCACGTGAGTCATGAGATGAGAATTTTTTTTATTCATTGAGGGGATGTGGATTCATTGCTTGCCCCTTGTTTTCCCTTGTGAATGTGATGGTGAGCTACCTTCTTGAACAGATGCAGTCTTTGTGCTGTAGGTAGACCCATAATGCAGCTAGGCAGGGAACTCCTGGAGGAATTCCAGGATTTTGACCCAGCAACATGGAAAATACGGTGATGCATGACCGGTAAATACGGCCCTCACTCCCACACCAAATAAGCACTGACCATCACACTCAAGTCAGGCTTGGAGGGCAACTTGCAGGCAATGACGCTCCCATGTGTCTGTTGTCCATCTAGATGGAAGTGTCGTTAGTTAAGAAGGTGTTGTCCAAGGAATCCTGGTGCATTTCTGCAGTGCTTTTTATAATGGTACACTGGAAGCAAGATGCAAAGTGAAATACAGGGTCCGTATTATAGGTGTGGGAGTGTGGTGGTTCAGTGTTGACCAGTTCTAAGAGCAATAGTCAGTATTTAATGGGTGTGAGAGCAAGGATTAGTATTAGCTGGCAATCAGAGTGAACGTCACTATTTACTGGGGTGTGGAAATGACGCTCAGTAATTACTGGGTGTGGGAGTGAGAGACTGTATTTACTGGGCATGGTGTGATGGTCAGTATTTACTGGGTGTGTCAATAACAGTCATCATCTATTGTGTTATCGGTAATGAGAGTTATGGTTAATATTGACTGGGTGTGAGAGTGAGTGTTTGAATTTACTTTGCGTGGGAGTGAGGTTCATTACTTGGTGGGTGTTGGTGTGATGATGAGTATATATTGTCTGGGTGTGGGAGTAAGGGTCAGAATTTACCGTGGGTTGGTGTGAGGGGCAGTATTAATTGGGTGTGGGAGTGGGTGTCAGTATTTACAGAGTGTTGGAGACACTGTGTCAGAATTTTCTGCATATGAGAGGGATGGTCAATATTTACTGGCTGTGGGCAGTAGTTATTCGGTGTGAGAGTGATGGTCTGTATTTAACATGTGGGAGTGACAGTCAGTATTTGCAGGGTTTGAGAGTGTGTGTCAGTATTTATTGGTTGAGGGCATCATGGCCAGGAATTATTGGTACGAGACTGAGAGTCAGTATTTATTTGGTACGAGATTGATGGGCAATATTTGTTCAATATGGAAGAGGCAGTCAGTATTATCTGGGTCTGGGTGTGGTACAGATGGTCAGTATTGACTGCATATGGGAGTGATGATAAATATTTACTAAGCAGGTGAGTGATGGTTATTATTTACAGGATGTGGGAGTAAGGGTCAGTTTTAAATGGGTGTGGGTGAGACTGTCAGTATTTACTAGGTTTGGGAGCGAGGATCTGTAGTTAACGGCTGTGAAAGCAATGGTCAGTATTTACTGGGTGTGGGAGTGAGGATCTGTAGTTAACGGCTGTGAAAGCAATGGTCAGTATTTACTGGGTGTGGGAGTGAGGATCTGTAGTTAATGGCTGTGAAAGCGATGGTCAGTATTTACTAGGTGCTGGAGTAGGGGCTCAGTATTATCTGGGCAAGAGATTGTGAGTTGGTATTTACAGCGTGTGGAAGTAACAGTCAGTGTTATCTACATGAACTGCGAGTTCCCTCTGCTTCTGTACTTCTCTCAAAGTTGTACCATTGATCCTGTATTATCTCTCAGTGATTCTTCTACCAAAATACATTACCTTAAATTTCTGTGCATTGAAATTTATCTAACAGGTGTCTGCTCATTTGGCCAACTTGACAATGTCCCTCTGAAGTCACTTAACATCATCCTCACAGTTGACTATTCTCCCTAGCTTAGTATAAAATGTTAGTATTCATCTAATTGTTCCTTCAATGTTATGAGAGTGTCTGACTCATCCACTCAGTATTCACTGAGAGCGGGAGTGAGTGTCAGTGTGCACCGAGAGCGGGAGTGTCAGTGTGCACCGAGAGCGGGAGGAGTGCCAGTGTGCACCGAGAGCGCCAGTGTGCACCTAGAGCGGGAGTGAGTGTCAGTGTGCACCGAGAGCGGGAGTGAGTGTGAGCGTGTGCCAAGAGTGGGAGTGAGTGTCAGTGTGCACTGACAGCGGGAGTGAGTGTCAGTGTTCACCGAGAGCGGGAGTGAGTGTGAGCGTGTGCCGAGAGTGGGAGTGAGTGTCAGTGTGCACCGAGAGTGGGAGTGAGTGTCAGTGTGCACTGAGAGCGGGAGTGAGTGTCAGTGTGTACCAAGAGTGGGAGTGTCAGTCTCTGAACGCACTGGGTGTCAGAGTGAGTGTCTATATTCACTGGTAATGAGAATGACTGTCTATATTTACTGGATATGAGACTGGCTGTCTACATTCATTGGGTATGGGAGGTATGGGCATTGTTTACAGGGTGTGGAAATGAGTGTCTGAATTGATTGGGAGTTGGAGTGAGTGTCTATATGTACTGTTTGTGGGAGTGATGGTCTGTATTTAAGAGAGTGAGGGTCAGTATTTACTGTATGTGGGTACTGTTTTCACTTCACGCTCTCCCATGAGCCTCAATCTCACACTATTTTAGCTACGCTGGTGATCGTCCTTCTTCGAACATGGTGATTGTTGAAGTGGAGCTGCTGTCTGGATTTTCTGCTGAAAAAGAGTCTTATAAAAATGTGAGTTTGTTCTTTGCTTAGTTTCCTGAATTTTGCTAAAATTTCCACCCTTCACTCAGCTCCACATGGTTCACATTTTTATCCCTCCTGCACCACTCTCCACCCAGTTGTGGGATCAGACTGTCCACCAACACAATGCCGCTTACATTTCCTTGCACTACTCTCTCCAGTACACTTCCTCACGACCAACTTGATCCTTGTGTTTCATTGTCTCCTTCTCTTTCCCATATTTTCAACAATAGAACCTCTTCCAAAATATCATCCTTTTCCCTAAGCTGTGGATTTACTCTGCTCTGGTTGATTGGATCTGCGAAGAAGAGATCAGCAACAGGTGTAATTACTGGAAACAGTATCAGAGACATCATCGCTGTACAGAACGTATCTCCCGTGACCAAGAGACTTCTAGGGTCATGAATCATGAGGATGAGAACCATGAAGTTCAGAGCATATCACAGACTAGTCAGTTGGGCAGAGCAGTGGCAGATGGAATTCACCCTGGAAAACTGAGAGCTAACGCTCTTTGTTCTTTTCAAGGAATGTGGGTGTCACTGGCTATGCCAGCTGCTTTTGTCCATCCCTAATTGTCCATCCCTAGTGTATTTACAAGGCAGCCACTTTACTGTGGGTCTGTAGTCACACACAGAAACAGGCACTTCAGCTCAACTCATTCATGCCAACCAGGCTCTGAAAGTGAACTAATCCCATCTGTCTGCATTTGGCCCATATCCTTCTAAACCTTTTCTATCCATGTACCTGTCCAAATGTCTTTTAAATATTGTAATTATACTCATACCACTTCCTCTGGCAGCTCGTTCCATATATGCATCTGTATGAAAAAGTTGCTCCTCATGTCTCTTTTAAGTCTTTCCCCTCTCACCTTAAACCTATGCCTTCTAGTTTTGGACTCCCCTAACCTGGGGAAAAGGTCTTGGCTATTCACCTTATCTATCCCCCTCATGATTTTTTAAACCTCTCTGTTGTCATCCCTCAGCCTCCTGCATTCTAGGGACAAATGCCCCAGCCTATCCAGCCTCTTCTTATAGCTCGAACCCTCTAGTCTTCGTCAAATCCTTGTCAATCTTTTTGCAGTCTTTCTATGAGTGGATTCATAGCAGCCAGGGACTGTACACAATAAAAATCCACTCAGTTTGAGGGCTGAGGCTGTCAGTAGATCCCAAGAGATCGTGGGATACTTGTTGGGAGTACATTAGTCCCATCTCCTGGGGGGATATCTTGGATGAAGGGGACACAGGTTCAGCTTTATGGCTCTCCAATTTGTTGGGGAGGATTAATTTTCCAATTAATCCAAGCCTCCCAGACATAAACTAGACGGGATAAGGACAGCAGATTTCATTCTCTAAAGGTCATGAGTGAATGAGATGGGTTTTTACAAAAACAAATCAGAAATGGTTAACTGTTCATCCATAGGCTGCCTTTTTATTGAATTCTAATTTCAGCTTCAGAACATTAGCCGTGGGCTCTGGATTACAGGTCCAGTTATACTACCACTAGACCATCTCCTGTCCATTGGGAAACCTAACAAGGCTCGTTTTCACTATGTATGGTGGCAGCCTGGAAGGTACTGAAGAACAGAGGGAACTTACTGTGCATATCCACAGATTCATATGGGAATCTTGCTTTTATCAGCCAAGCCGCAGAATATATGAAGAAGAATGTTGGAACTGTATAAAACAAAGGTTAGGCCACAGCTAGAGTATTGTGTGCAGTACTGGAATCCACATTATAGGAAGGATATAATTGCACAAGAGAGAGGGTGTGAAGGAGACTCACCAGGAAACTGCCTGGACTGCAGGGCCTGAGCTTTGAGGAAACATTGGACAGGCTGGGATTATTCCCCTTGGAGCAGTAAAGGCTGAGAAGTAACCTGATAGCGGTGTATAAGATTATGATCAGCTTAAGTAGAGTGAATAATTTCTACTGAAAAGTAGGTTTAGTGTAGATAGTGTAAATCAGTGATCAAGGCTTGATGGGCCAAAGGGTCTTTTCTATGTTGCTTGACTCTAAAACACTCTCTCTCTTGCAATGAGTCAATAAGGAGGCATATGTTCCATTACTACAGGATCTGTAACCAGCGGCATAGATTTATGTGAAAAAGTAAAATGTTTAAGAAGACAGTTGAGGAAAATTGTTTTTTCATTGAGTGGGTGGTGGGAGCCTGGAACACACTGCCTGAAAGAGTGGATAAGTCAGACATTCTTATAAACATTGAAGCAGTATTCAGATATTCACTTGCTTTGATATAACCTCCAGAGCTATGGATCAAGAGCTGGCAAATGTCATGAGATATTTATTGGCCAGCATAGACAGGATTGGCCAAATGGCCTCCTTCTGTGCTATGAGTCAATCAGAACAATGTTGTTGAAATGAATTGTAGGAATGAAAAGTAGGAAAAGCAGGACTGTCAAAGTATGGCAAAAAAAAATCATCTTGCATTTCGTGGACATAATAATTGGATTCATCCAGTCAGCAATTAAGTGTAATAAAAAGAAAAGATAGATTGTGGACAGGACAATAGAAAGGGACTGAATTGGGGCCACTGTCTAAACTCCTAACTGACAATGGAGTCATTTTGTCAATGATGTACATGTGTGAAAGTATGAACACCATGGTCATGTTTTGGTGGGTGGGGGAGAAATCCAGAAATTCCTTTGGTAACGGGTGATCATGGCCTGGCTACAATGAGCATGTCAATGATCTGCATCCAGGGAGAACGGTATTCATTCAGACTGAAGTCTGAGAAAATTCAACATGCTGGATGGCCATCAGCAGGATTCATTCAGGGATCAGGTATGTGACAAAGGAAAAGGGCAATCATAGTGGAAAGGTCCAGGTAAGGTTATCTTTCTTGATCGAAAAATTAGCAATCATACAGACTGGAAATCCAATGGTTATAGGTGTGTTTCTCAAAGCTAATTAGCACCAATTACACACTTACAGAACATGACCAAGTCATAGAGAGAGTTAACCTGATAGTTCACAGACACCAATGGTGGGCAAGCATGATTACCCAGATTCTGACAGATGAACGACTGTCTGAGTATGGACAAAGTTTACAGACTTAGTAAACGGGAGCCAAGTTATTTGCCCCAGAGAGCAACAGCTGAATGTTGGCAGCAATGGAACAAATGTACCAGAAAGGTCTAGTGAATGGAAGACAACTCCCAGTGTAGGGAGCGCCAATGGTCAATGCAAAGAGTAGCTAAATTTGCAAGTTGACAGTCAGGAAAGTAAGATTTATAGATTGGTAAAATAAGGTAAAGGAGTAGAGGGCCAGTAAACACAATATAAGGTCTGAAAGTGAACCTGAAAATGAACAGGGCCTTAGGAAAATATCACAATATTACACCAGGAAATCTATTCGAGGTCTGTGGAACACACACCACTTGGACATGGTGAGGGATGCTTATGCTTGAGAGGTTTTAGTGGCTACAAACACTAGACAGGTTGATAGAAGAAGCCCAACAGAAGGAGTTGGTGAGCTGGAAAGGATTGATGTATACACTGAGGTACCAGAGAGGTTATAGGCAGCCTTATCACACAGATGGATAAGTGGAGAAAATATTCCTCCCAGTGGGACATATAAGGCTAAAACTAGACTTTAGGGGCCTTGACATTTCAAACTTGGTGACCAAGGTGTAAGAAAATTGATCCTGGCAATCTTCGTAGCTGTTAGTGTCAAACTCCTGGGAATTTAAGTCAATCCATGTAAAGGCTACATCTTTTAAAGGGTGAAAATTTTTAAAGAGAGCTACTTTTGAAACTTCCCAAAATGCACACACATGTTTCCAGCCTTGGATGACCCGGAGGATAAAAAGCTAGTGCCTTTTTTGTGATGCTTCCCATGCCAATCTTCCAGATGGATAGTCAAATAAGCCTGTGCTCAAGGATTGTTTGCATTGAAAATTTTCATTTAAAGAAAAGCACGGAATCTGTCAGTGAAGTGAGAGTGAGCTGCTGACTGGGGTTAATTGTTTTATTCAACGACTGTGTAAACATAAAGAGGGGACAGCAGAGTGTTTGGGTTAAAGTCCTACCTGTCCCATCAATGTATCATGACATGCCTGAATAGGTTGACTTAGAAATAAGTAGATAAAGGAGGATACAGTCGGTTCTGCTATAACACGTGTTCCAGCAACACGAATTGGCTATAATGCAACTGACAAATAGGGGAACGCTATTTCTAAAACACAAACTTGTGTTGCCTATAATGCAATTCCATCGGTGCGTGGAGGAGTACATGTCAACATCACATGATCATTTCGGGGGCTTTGCTCTGAACATGTGCAATGTTAGCACTGAGAGTGTCTCTGCATTGGCATCATGTGATCATTTTGCAAACCTTGTCATGAAGTGCTTTCTGTGAGAGGTACAGTAGTCCATGATTTTTGGGGTTTTTTTGTAAAGTCTGCCGTATTACACACAGAAATACAGGACAAAGTGACAAGAATGTAGGCCAGAAGCATCCTGGTGATAAACTTGCAGGTGGTGAACATAAAATAAAGGCTATCGTAAAAGAAAGAATGTAAAAGAGAAGCTAGATGTTATAAAGCGTTTTAAGCGTAATGAGAGAACAAGTGTTATAGTTTGCGTAACAGGAATATAGGAGTCTACCTTGCGCACCATCAGAGACAATGCAGAAAAGATTAAAGCAAGCTGTTTTGCTGGAATATGTCTGAGTGCTACCAAATCTGTGAGGTCTCTGACAAAGGAGCTTGAGGAGATGGAGCAGCTCCCAAGTGTGTGGATAGAAAATCAAATGAAAAAATGATCTTGGATCACCTTTCTCTCCATAAAAGAGAAAGCCTTATCAATTTATGAAGGTCTAACAAAAAAAGCTGAAAATCCTGCAGATGTGCCTGCCTTTATGGCTAGCGGTGGCTGGCTTGCTGATTTTAAGAATCTATATGCTTTGCATCACATAAAGTTATGTGGCGAAGCTGCTAATTTAGATAAGGAGAAAGTAATGGCATTTCCTCTCA